TCAGCGTGGGTGATGTTCCCACCCTAGGGCAGTCAGCAGGATCCCAGTATTATCAGCTTCACCAGGAACACGTGGAATGGGCAAGGAGTCCCCCTTTAGGAAACAGAAGGATATAGGACAGTGTGCTGGACCACCATGGTCTTCTAGGTCTTTCATCCTTACCTAGTATGATGGCTTTTGTCCTCATCCATGTAATTTCATGGATTCAAGGTAGGTGCCACAGAACTAAACAGAATGAATGCGTTCAAGGCAGGATGGCAGGGGGAGGGGCAATCCAGCCTTACCTGTCCCTTTGATCAGGAAAGCAAAAACTTTTCCAGGAATACTCTTAAAAGACTTCCCCTTAAATACCTCTGCCCAGCTCTGGTCACACTGCTACAACCCTAGCTGTAAGCAAGGTTAGGAATCTAGTTATGACAAAGGGGAATAGAATGTCATGACTAAGTTGCACCAATACTGATCTCTGCCACCCCACCCCTCCTGGGGGTTAGTCAGTCTCGCTCTGAGCTCCAGTAACATCTCTGTCTCCGATCGTAGGAGAACACCCACTGCACAGCAGTTGCTGGTATTTTCCGGCCCCCGGCCCTTGCTAGGATTTCGAAAGAGGTGCCCCTAAAGAGGTGCCAGGAAGACAGCTTCTTGTATCCCCAACGCTTAGCACAGAGCCCGTCTTCATTCCACCCACGTTCTCTGACTACCTTGTGCCGGGCCCTGCGCAAATAAGGAGGCGCTCAGTGAACGTTTCCTGGATAGGTATCACCGCGGCCCAGCAGCTCCACCCAGAGCAGCCTGGATCTCCCTGTCCCCCTCCCCTCCCCTCTCTCTCACCCCAGGCTGTCATTTCACCCTCCTAAAAGCCTTCCCTTTGGCTGTGGAGCCATTAGACGGTCCCTCTGGATCTGCAGGCAACAGCTAGTACTTTCCCTCCCTGCTGTCACCCAGCATCCAGCTGAAACTCGAATCAGCACCAGTAGACTGGGCGTGAGCGGAAGGAGACTGCTCACATTATTTGCCATTATTTACCTCTGACTGTGTGCATTCCCTTTCCTTCCCATACTCGTTTGAATTCTCTCCCCCCCCCCCCCCCCCCCCCCCCCCCCCCCCCCCCCCCCCCCCCCCCCCCCCCCCCCCCCCCCCCCCCCCCCCCCCCCCCCCCCCCCCCCCCCCCC